TGAGAATTTGGGATGAGTATTTAGCAATGTTGATTCATAAAGGTAAGAGCCGGGATGAATCTTTAAGAGTTGGGAAGGTTGTTCTCCTAGAAACTGATGGAAAGCGTATCAACTGGCCTTTAGAAATCGTCACTACTGGAGCACTTTACTGGAGCAGATGGGTAATCAAGAGTTGCCAGAGTGAGAACAGCTGATGGAGAGAAGTTCAGACCATTCCACAGACTTTATCCATGAGAAATCAACAGTTTGGAAAAGTTACCATTCATTGCTCAAGATGCTTAAAAGGATGAAAGTGCCTCTCTGCCCTGCAGCTAATGATTCAGATTCCAGTGAAGATGATGATTCATTACCCAAAGTCCCAAATTTTGTCACTAGATCCTGTCAAAATGTTAAAATTTCCAATAGACTTTATTTATAACTTTTGTTGCAATTTATAGGCATCCTACAAAATTGCAAGGTGGGAGGTTGTTTGAGTAATACCAATTCAATTCTGTTTATTTTTTATGTGTTTAAAATAAGCTCTATCCTTTTTGTAAATACACTGCTGCTAAATTTTGCAAATATCTGCAATTGAAGTGTTTTTTCATATTAAATTCATAGCTATCTTTGAATCTTTTAAAAAAGGGAAAAGAGTTACAAATATTAATAATACAAAGAAGATATGCATTTGCTGTAATTGATCTGAAAGATGCTGTAACTGGTATGAAGATGACATTTAAGATAAAAAGTAGCTATCTCTACCCTTTCTTAGGGGGGAACTAAAGGAGGTAAATAAAAACTCTTTATCTTTCTTACAGAATACAGAACAGCTACTGAAAAATGTCACAACACTAGCAGGAATGCAGAATACACTAATACAGAAGCACTAACAGGTGGTAGCATTGGTGGGTGAGAGCTAAAATTCAAGTATCAAATAAAGCTTTTGGGACAAGACTGAAAAATGAGAATCAACTATATAACATTTACCAACTATGCCTCCTCAATAGTAGATAGAATACACTCTCGATTGTCCAGGTGAGGATTATCTGCACATAACAGTACCCATGCATGCACACTAAAGCTATGCAGCACAGTATGTAACCCCTAGACACTAAAACCTGGTGAATTGCATCTTTAGTTTTAGTTCCAATGATTACCTCATAAAGTTCATTCTGAATGTGCATTGTTTTGGTTGATCACTGGTTTGGTTAGTCCTGAAACAGCAACGAGTTCTGATGAAACTCTGTTTGACTTCATTGACCAAAGGGAATTTGAATATAATGACAAAATAGCACTTTCAAAAGTACGCAGTGAAATTCGAAAAATATTTAAAACATCTCAAAAATAAAATAAAATTACATATTTTTTAAAGAAATAAACAATATGGATGCAAATTCATAGTTTGGATTATCCGTGTTTTTCAGTTATCCATGACCAATGACCATGTGCAGAACACAGTATGTTTAAAAAAGCCAGTTACAAGTTGTATTATTACTGATTCTAGATATGCATTTGTAAAAAATTTCATGGAAATAATTTCAGAATAATTCAGAATTCTGCAGAGATGAAATGTAATGAAATATGATTCCTACGAAGTAAAAATTCCCATTGGCATAATATTCATACCAATAATCAGTTAAATATAAAAGTTTCATTCTCTTTTAATGCAGAATTTTTGGAGATAATATTAAGTAAAATGTAAAATGAATCAATTTTATTTAAAGAAATATTATTTAAATTATTGAAAAGACAACATGTCTGTTAAGACAGCATGCCTTAACCATGCCTTTTGTAGACAGGCAACAAGCAAGTAAAAATGCATCTTTACTTTTTAAGTTCTAAATTTAAGAAGCAATTGCAAAACAAAAATTGCTCATTTGACAATTAATGATTTAGTACTACATAGTTCTCTAATGTGTGCACTAAGAAATTCTAGGAGGAGAAGTATTATTAGTCTAAAGAGCAATAAGAGGAAGTTCAGAAGCAAATGAACAATAAATGCAATAAAAAATTTAAGGCCTATTTTATTTGATGCTGATTGCTTTCACAGAAACATGGACTATATTAATTTTGCAAAGATAAGGGGGTATTAAGAAAGTCCCAAGAGGATGATGAGCAATACAATTCTTGAGAAAGGAATGGCAAACCATAAAAGATTGCAAAACTATGCTTTGCAATAAATAAACTATGAACTGCAGGTAGAAAGTCACACATCTTTTGTTTTATTTTTTAGGATAATTAGAAATTTGTATATGGACCAAAGACAATAACACAACTATTTTCCTTACTTAAAGTACTTCTATAACTGGTTATTTATGTCAACAAGGGGGAGAAAGACAACTGCACAGTTACTCTAAAAACTGAGAAAACATTTGAATGTGCATAAAATTTCATGCTCAGTAGCGCAAACTGTGCTTTAAATTAAACACGTGCCTTAGGTAAAAAAACAAGAAATACAGTACAAGATAAGTCTTTAATCCAGACGTCCATAATCCAGACCTCAAAGCTACAAACTTTCTGTGCATGCGTAAACACATAATACATTTATGCATGCACATAATACCTTTATGCATGCGCAAATGCATTTATGCATGAGCATAATATGTTTACGCATGTGCATTTAATGTATAACGGATGGTATACGTTAGGTTAAAATTATCTATTTCAGTAAATGTTGCAGATTGCATTGCTCTTTAATTTTCTAATTAGATCCGGATTATTTTTTGCAGACTGTTAGAGAATTTTATAAAAATTACGCTTGAACTTTCAATTATGTCAAAAAGAGTTTCCGATTCTGGAGCTGCCAAAGGATCTACAAAGCGAAAGCATGTTTCGATGTACCACTTCCGATAGTGAAGAAAGTGAACGAGAGGTTATTGAAAACGAAAAAATTTTGATTGACAAGTTAGTCGGTATTCTCGACACAGCAATTACAGGACTTGAACAGTGGAACTGAACAAGAAATTATGTCTGTTTATAGAATTAAAGAGAAAGTATTATCACATAAAACGAAGCAACTTAAACAACTTACATTGAAAGAAATGTTTAATAAAGTAAACAAATAAATATTAAGCTTTTTTTTTTTTTTTTTTGTAAATTTTGATACCCTTTAGATCATAATTGCTCTTTATTTCATAAATTATGGTTTCATATTTTTAATTTTATAATTTCTGCATGCCATCTTACCAGATTTAAATTGATGATCTATAATCCGGAATCGTCGAAGTCCTGACAAGTCCGGATTAAAGACTTTGTACTGCAGTACAAATTGAAATACAAGAATTAAATATTAAGGTCAAATTAACGAAACAATGTTTAGCAATTTTGAGATATGCCTCAAATACAAAAATCTGTTATGGCTGTTTTTTGTTTTGTTTTGTTTTTTTGTTTTATGGATATTAGATCAAGAAATAGCCATAAAAATTATAATGTTTATATATGAATCTCTTAGCATTTCATAACTAAGATAAAAAGCTAATAACTTATATAATGCAATAGTTTCTAAATGTATTTAAGAGAGTTTTAAAGGCAAAACTGAGAATAATACAATTCAGGGATAATGGTCTTTGAAAAACTAAAGATTATCAACTTTTTCACCAACTCCTTTTAAAAAAATGACTTTCATTATCAACCCTATTGGATGGAGTTTATTACATTTATGTTTCATTTATATTTGGCATAACTATTACTTTTAATTTTATGAACATAAACATCTTTTCAGAAACAAAATGCCAGATTCTAATTGCACAAAAGTTCGATTTTAATGAATGTGATGGCAGCACCTTGATGCAAATCATTTTGTTATAGTTGGCATAAAACTGTTTAACTTAATTCTTAAATCACTTTGTTCAAAAATATCCAACATGTTTCTTGTTTTCTGTACTAAATTATTGACTTCATTAAAGCCAGCTTTTTAAAATTTTGGTCACAAAAAGTGAATTCTTATCAAAATTTAAGCAAGAATACCATGCCTGTAAGAACTCCTACACTTACCTGAAAATGGAAATTATAGAGTTAAGAGATTTCAGAAAGAAAGCTTATTTTAAATTTATCAAAGGCAGACATATCTTCTTTTTAACCTGATAATATTATTTAAAAAATACTGTGTCAGAAAATAACTGTAATATACAGTACACTAGAAAGTAGAGACTTCCTGACCTGGGCTATGTAAAGTCCTTAACACAGAGTGATGCCTACAGGCAATACACAGGGGTGCAAACCCCTCCCCAGTGGTGAACCCCTGGCGACAAAGTGTCTTCGTTTTTTTTGATGACCAGACAATATCTGGTCACCGAAAAAACTAAAACAGCACATGACAAGTATATCCTGACAGTATCAGTCTCCCTGAACTGACCAATGGAGCGAAGCCCTCAAGGGCAACCTTTATATTATCTACCATGTAACCATCACACAACCTGAGACGCATTTCATGGTAGCATTATGGGCAGGGGCGTAGCTAGAGGGGGCCAAGGGGGGCATCTGTCCCCGGGCGCAGAATCCAAGGGGCGCCAAACTGATGCTACGACATTTTAGAATTACATCTTTTCCATCCTTGGCAAGCAGTAGCGGGCGCGAAATCTTCAAATGTCCCTGGGCGCTGAAAACCCTAGCTACGATTCTGATTATGGGCGTTGCAGCAACTGAACGGACCACTGAATTATTGATGGTTCTAGTCACTGCAAAGACTGATTATGTATCCCCAGAAGCTGAATCTGTCTAAGTACAGTTTTTAGCTAAAATGCTGGTGCTAAAATATTTTAAATGATAGTTCACTCATAGCATTGTTGTAGTTGAAAAAGAAAAGCTACTTTTGTCTTCAAAAAAATTATTATAAGCGTCAAGTAAATCTAAAATTTTACTACTTATGTGGTATTTAATGCTAATTTAAAAACAATATTTAACAGTGCTATAAATACAAAACTTCAATTAATAAAAGTTTCATTTAATCATGAAATGCACTATGCCTATTCTTATATCTGATAAAATATTTGAGTTATAAACAATGAAATTAAATAACTCACCGCCACAGGTATGAAGATAAATGAATACAACTTATACATTTAGGTGCAGGAGGAAAATTAAAACCTTCCAGTCTTGCAATGCTTCCTGCCATACCATAAATAATGAAATATTTTAGGTAGAACATCATAGGTAATGTATAACCTAATCCACATAAAGACCAGCTATCAAAATTAAATGCAACTTCTGGAAAATACTGAACAGCTGATGAGTAAACAAAATGCAACAAAATTTCATAAATGAAGTACCATAACAACACATAAAAAACACGTAACACATTTCTTAAGATTATTCCTGGCTGTGATCTCTCTGATTCAAAAACCTAAAAAATTGAAACAGGAATCATTATTTATAATATTAGTGCTAAAAACAGTTTTCGATAATTATTTTAAATACAGTTATTCTAAATATAAAAATAATTATTAAAAACTAAATAAAAATTAAATGTTATAAATTACACCTCGGTAAGCTGTGGTCATGTAGTAATTTCTTCTACATAAACGTAAAGTAAGATATGTAGTAAAAAAGAAATAAGTCATGTAGTCTTTCATGTCAGAAGAAAGTCATGAAGAATTTTACAATTTACCTGACTGCTATCCTACAGATTATTACATGTGAGATGCAGTTGCAATGATCATTAATAATACTGAATGAAAGTAACTGAGAAAAAGAACTCGTCAGGCATTTCAGAAATCTGTCATTATAAATATATATGTTATCAGTTCTGAGGTTGTCTAGAGGCTTTGGCCGATACCAAAAACGGCTTCATTGAAAATGTTACTTTCATAAATCATTACTCATACAGCACATGAAGTTGCTGTGACTTATCAATGTTAAATTTTCATCATGTTACATATGTGACCAAGATAGAATATCATATTGTGATGTAGGTGTGAATATTGCACTGATGTCACATATGCGTTACAATAAACATATAATGTGACCTTTCATGTTCATGTAATTCTTCTTCAATGAGAGTTATCTTTGCACACTGGCTTTGCGCATGTATTATTATTGTGCATGTATTTATTTTATTTTAATGATCCTGCGGCCTGATTCCCTCGATTCATCGATATTTTTTTATGCTAATAGCTTACAATTTAAATTAGTTCCTATTTGTTAAAAATATTTAGTTCACAGTATGTTTTTTCTTAATGTGATATTAAAAAAGTATCACAAAATAATTAAGTATGGTTTTTTTTTTTTTTTTTTTTTTTTTTTTTTGGTATTGAGGATTTTCGTGGTCATTTCTTTAGTTTTGTTTCTACTCTTGGCTGACCTCGTTACTGCAAAATTTTCAGGTAAGCACTGTTTATTGTATAATGATGTAAATGATATCAGTAATAATTAATATATAATAATTAATGCATAATTTAAAAATTATGAACAAAAAGGAATAATTGACAACTGATTCACTTTTATTTGTATAATCTGACTGCAGATGCAAGGGCATCAGTTTTAGTCTCAATTTTATCTCGCTGATAAAAATTTCAATTTAGGAAGCCATTTTTATTTGGTAGATATAGTTCAACTTTTATTGCTTTTAATAATAAAAGATAATGTAAAAAATGTGACGTGACAGAAGTACTTCCTGTAAATTTCCTGTTTTAATTCTTTGATCTCCCAAAAAAGTAGTGGGTAAAAAAGTGTACAGTCAAAAGTCGTTAATTAGGACACCCATAATCCGGGCCTCAAAGCTACAAACATTCTGCGCATGCGCGTAAGACCTTTATGGCTGCGAATATGCGTGTGCGCATGCGCAAAATATGTTTACGCATGCGCGTTTAATGCATAACGAACGGTATAAGCTAAGCTAAAATTATCTAATTCAGTTAATGTTGCAGATTGCGTTGTTCCTTAATCTTCGAATTGGATCCGGCTTATTATATCTTGCAGACTGTTAGGGCAATTTTATAAAAGTAAGCTTGAACTTTCGATTATGTCAAATAGAATTTCCGATATATATTTACTAATATGTAAAAGATCTACAAAGCGAGAGTATGTTTTGAAGTCCATTAAAAAAAAGTGGAATTGCTGCAAAAAATGACCTAATCATTCCAAAATCTGTTTATCAATTTCACGCTGCTCTGCAGCGATGGGGGGGGCACGACACACAATGAATTGGAAGTTATCTGTCAGCACTATCCTTATCTTCAGGGCAAATGTTTTCATTTTATTTGGCTTATAATTCCTTATTAAATGTAGTATTTCGTCTCGATGCATTCCATCTTTGATATGACTTAAATCAAATTCCTCATCATTATAATTTGCTTCCAATAGTGAAGAAAGTGACACAGAGGTTATTGAAAACGAAAAAATTTCGATTGACAAATTAATCGGTATTCTCGACACAGCAATTATAGGACTTGAACAGCGGAACTTTGTAACTGAACAAGAAATTATGTCTGTTTATAGAATTAAAGAGAAAGTATTATCACATAAAACAAAGCAACTTAAACAACTTACATTGAAAGAAATGTTTAATAAAGTAAAGAAATAAATATTCAGCTTTTTTTTTTTTTTTTTTTTTTTTTTTTTTTTTGTAAATTTTGATACCCTTTAGATCATAATTGTTCTTTATTTCATAAATTACGGTTTCATATTTTTAATTTTATAATTTCTGCATGCCATCTTACCAGATTTAAACTGATGATCTACAATTCGGAATCACCAAAGTCCTGACGAGTCCGGATTAACAACTTTTGACTGTATTTGCTTTTAACATGCTTAACATATTGGTAATGATTAATATAAATAAACACAATTTTTATAGAACTTTTTTTTAATGATTATAGAACATATGATGGTTACACAATACAACTAGGAATATATCACTCAGGCAGAGTCCAACATTGCAAAGTGTGAACTGCCATTTTGTGGAATGGAGTTCAGCTTTTATATTGCATAGACTACATTGAAGAAGGTGTCCCATATATTAACATATGTGCAGCTTCTTATTGATGAATTCTCAGATGGAAAAAAAGACATATGTATATTCTGTTGTGCGTTCATGTCTTCACTTAACATCTGCGTTCTTCACATTTACACAATGCTATCAATCCTCTTGTGAGAGAAACTGGAAAATAGTTCAGTCATAAGGACCAGCCTTCACTCCTCATAGATTTGTTAATTTCGCCTTTTTTACAGATTTGTTAATTTCGCCTTTTTTGGATGTAAAATTCATGTTCCTTTACGCGAAATTTTAATGCTCTTTTTGTTTGGCCAATATAACTTAAGCCACACTGACATGCTATGCTATGAATTCTCCAAGAATTAAAGTCAGAAAAAGAATCTTTAAAAACCAAACCTCGTATTTTACTTATCGGCGAGTAAACAACTTGAAAATTAAACTTGTGTAAAATCCGTGCAATTTTGTAACTAATAGAAGGATGAAATGGATAAGTTATTAATGTTATTTCTAACATCAGAATGTGTTCTTAGATGGCACGATGAGAACTTTCGAACAGCTTTATCAATGACTACAGGAGAAAATCCTCAGTCAAGTGCAACACATCTTAAATAATTGAGTTCATTAGCAAGAAAAAGATTCTGAGGAACAAACTTTGAGAGTTCAAAATACATAATAGTAAAAAGAAACCATTTTTTGCTTAACTGGGTGACATGACTTAGCATGAGGAGATAAACAACAGAAAAGGGTTTACAGTAAACAGTTATGCTGAAATTAGATCCATTATGGATTATAAGAATATGAAGGAAGGAAAGTGTATTATCAGATTCAGTCTCAAAAGTGAACTGAATGGCTGGTTCAATCGAATTTATCACAGATAATACCTGGGTTAAGTCTTTCTTATCACCATCAAACACAGCGAAAGTGTTGTTTATGTAGCGAATCCACAGACGAAAAGATAGTTTTTCAAATAATTTGACCTCAAAATAGTGCATGTAAATGTCAGCAAGTACAGGACTGAGGGGATTACCCATAGCTAGTCCTTCAATTTGGCGATAACATTCATTTTGGAAAAAAAAGTGAGTCTGATTCACAGAGACTTTTAGTGAGGGAAATTAACTCTTCAATTTCAATATGTGAGAAATGAAATTCTCGAAGTCTAGTTTCAACGCCTTTTAGTGCACCTTCGACTGGAATGTTAGTAAACAGTGATTTAACATCAAACGAAACCATAATGCAGTACAAGGGAGAAATATCTTTAAGCTTATCAATGACTTAGAAAGAAGTTTTACGGTGTGAATATTATTGGAAAGTAAAGGAGAAAATACGGAAACTAAATATTTGGCTAAGGGTATGATGCCGTTCCTAAATTGGAAACTATAGGTAAAAAAGGAATTCCAATTTTAAGAACTTTGAGGAGAGTATAAAATCTAGCACAGCTAGCATTAGGTGGAATGAGTGATTCCTTAAACTGAGTCGAAAGTATGTGAGAAGATTTAAATGCTATTTTAACATTTGTGAGGTCAGAAGTTGAGAGATCTTTAGAGATCAAACAGTATGGGCCTTCACTTATCAGTTTCGTAGCCCCATTAATATATGTATGTTTGTTCATAGACACAATCTGTCCCCCCTTATCAGCCTTCGAAATTATAATATTAGGATTAGAATGAATGTTTTCTTTTCTTTTTGGTTGAGATTAAAAACAAATGACTTGTAGTTAAAATTCACATTCTAAAGTGAACTGAATGGCTGGGCGAAATGTATCTTTCTGTGTTTCATAAATTTTAGAGAATTTAAAAGCTTTTTCAATTGGGGTGATGATTTGAAGAACTGAAGGTTTTTATGACTTAGAAAAGTTTGAGCTTTTGGTATTTAGAAACAAAAATGTTTATATGGCATTGACAAGCAGTTTCAGTCCTAGACCAAGATTTATGATAAAATGAGGAAAAATTTAAAGTGGAATTATCAATTTTTAAATGAAGGTTATATAATTCCTGTTCAATTTTAGCCAAATGTTTGAGCATCTGTCTTATAGTGTTTACGAAGTAGTGATAACTTGAATTTATGCATAATTTTCAAAATATGAACAGATTTGAGACTACATTTAACTTGTATAAATTTGGGAATGATATTCTGATGTTTGCATTTGAGCAAAAAATGGAGATGGTTCAAGTATTTCATACACTTCAGGTGTAATTTACAAAATCGATTCTTATCTGTTGACATATTTCAAAAGCGTAAATGAGCAACGAAAATGTGGTGAACAAAAAACATCAAAAAGGAAGAATTGGAAAAGAGTAAAAAAGAAGAAACTCACCAACTTCCGAACCCGGGCCCTTTGGTACCGCAGTAGGCTTCCCTAACCACTATACTGTCAAGGTGGCAATGAATATCATAACTGAATTTCCTTCTAAGTTATTTTCACAGTATCAGCAAATCTAAATTAATTTTGATTTGCATTTATATCTCTGCGATATCTAGGTAACAATGAACAATGCTCGTTCAACAACAACATGTTATAGTTTATACATAGAATGTTTCCTAAATTGTAGAAATTGAGGTATATATATATTTTTTTATATTTTAAAAATTTTCATCAGTATTATAATACAGTTTTTAAACATAATCCCCATTTAACTGAATACAGTTATCCCAAAGAAAAACTAATTCTTTTAAGCTATCCTTGGAGAATTTTTTCAATCTTTCCTCTCTTTCTCCTTATCGCATTGTTATACTCTGAAATCGAACATGCCATAAAGAGTTTTCAAATGTGGGAACAGAATACTTCTTGCAAACAATTGGACAATTTCTGAAGTTTTCACATCCCTTTCCACAAAAAGAAAATGACTGCTTTTCACACTTTAACATGGTTGTATCAATCAAACAACTGAATCAAACTAAACAATATTCCATGGGATAGCTGCATAAACCTGGGTTAGTACACATTTCTGCACACGGAAATAAAGTACTTTTAAGGACCATTAATGAAAAAATTAAGGACCTACGAGCAAATGGGAACTGAATAATTTCAATTAAAAATATTATCTATGCCTGAACTTTTGTAATACCATCCTAAAAATAAATAGATCCGTAAGTAAGGTGCATTATTATTCAACATAACCTTATTAATATAATTATTAAGAAGTTTGAGAATAAAACTTTATGAAATTTCTCAAGTAACATATTTAATATTTTTACATATTTAATAAATATTTTTACACTTGTAATAGTTGAACATATTTAAAAGAAGATACGTGACATTTTATTTATGTTTTACTAACAGTTAGCTTTATGTTGATTTTTTAATGTCTCATTTTGTCAAATACTTGCTCAGTCTACAGGTTTATTAAATAGCAGGTAGATTTCATGTCAAGCGCCATAGTTTAAAATGAGAAGTAAAATCATAATCAGTATAATTAACAAAAGACTGGCTGTTGTCAGTGCTGCTGCTTGCCTAGAGAGACCTGCTAATCAGAACAAAGCTAAAGGGTGTGGTGTACGCACAGCTGGCAAATTTTGAAAATTAATTGGGCTCTGTCTAACGCAGTTAGTGTCGTAACTTCGCTTAGAGTTTCAGAGGTTGTAATCCACTTAATATACTTAATAAGCCTTAATAAGCGACTAAAGCACCAGAGGTGATAAGTTGTTTTATATTATTTTAAGTCTCACTAGATGGTGGTATATGTGCATGTTTGCCTGAAGAACCGTTATGCTCCCGGTTGTCAGATTTGGAACATTTTAAAAATTTTGCAACTTCTGCAAAGATGGTTGCGCTAATATGTAAGCACTCAATAACTTTGCAGTATGGTAATTGTTATCCATTTATCACACTGCAAAAAAAGTATTTTAAGAAAGACTGTCAGAGTGTGACTTCACAACTAAATAATTTCATATATCAGTATAACAACATCAACATAGCACTGTAAAAGGTCATGGTTTTACTTCACACCAACATCAAAATACAGCATAAATGTTGCAACATTAAAACTTACATACAATATTACTGACAGTGTGTGGTGTTATGTGACATGAATGTGATGTTGCAACTGTCATAGTGTGACATGTTTCCAGTGTGATAATGCTATTGGTGTATTTTTCTCATATCTGGAATTTTCAACAAATGTTTAAAACCTCCAGATTAACCTAAGATTTTTTCCTTAATGTATTTTTAATGCAATTCTGCTTGTGCATGTTTTAATTTAGCATATATCTTACAATTTAAGAAAAAACATTAATTATCAGAAACATACTTCCTTTAAAAACTGACTGTAGCGAAATATAGGCCCAGTAAACACTGCTGGTAAATATAAGCAATATGATAATGTAGTAGCAACATCCATAGCAGTCACATTTTTATGATTGTCATCTTCAATGCGATCAACTGCAAAGCTTAAGCATTTGGCCATCATCCAAGCAAGCCCAACTTCAAACAGAAACGACTGAGTTTCACCTTTTGTTAAAGATGCCTGGAAATATTTGAGGTATTATAATCAATAATTCTACAATCAAGTTTACATGATGGAAATAATAAAATCAAATTCTATCCAATAAAGACAATGCATTGTTAATTAAATAACAGTAACACATAATTTTAATAGCAAACATCTAAAACTAAGCAAATACAAAACATATTACACTGAAGCAATTAGATATTTAGTAATTTTTGAGTTATATCTGGATTAATTGCAAAAGGAAACGATCAAATAAAAATATTTGCTTTTAAATTTAAAACAAAAGCAATAAAATGAGAATATATTTTTACAAACATCGAGAACAGAATTTAAGAAACGTATTCAAGAATATTTAAAGAAATTATAGTAAAGCACTTATCAAGATACAGCTTGCCGTGATGCAACTTAATAACGTATGTATTTCATATTTTATGAAAACTTAAATTTAAATAATTTGAATGCAAAGTAGCAAGCAAATGAAACAAAGTAAAGAAAATTTAATGATTTTTTTAAATTAAAAGTAATTATATTGCAAGAAAAGGCAAAATTGTCTAAGCACTGGAAATATAAAATGTGCAAAACTGTATTAAACAAAAACTAATAAAAATGTTTTAAGAAAAAGTGTCAAATATTAACAGAAAAGACACAATAGTGAAAAAAGAAAAAGAAAAAAAGTTAAATGGCAACTTATTTTCCAAAAATTAAATTTACAATTTTAACTATATAAGAAGCTAAAAATAGTCAATAAGAAGTTCATAAAATGGTGTTCATAATAAGGTGAATTTTTTAAGAAAAATTTCTAAGTACCAGCAAAAAAGATACAATAATGAAAACTAAAGTAAAAAGCAAGAGCTAAATGCAAAAAGGCAACCCATATTATCAAAATTAATGAAAGTTCAAGCATTATGCTTACATTTTTATAAATTCTTGCTATGCAAAATCTCTAGTTCTATACATGCAGTTTTAGTTAACCAGTACACACCCAGATTACAGCTACTTTGGCAAAGTTTTGGCCAAATTAGCTTTAGTTATTCAGAATTTCCTTTAAAATTAAGAGTAAAAAAAACCAATCTAACATTTTATGAAATAACAAATTGTTTGTTCAAATGATTTTATAGAACAAAGTATGTAATTATATATCTGTACCTTGGTAGAAAAGGTACTCATGTCCAAAATGATCAAACCTGGGACTTTTGCACTAGTCAAATGAAAGTCACAAATGCCTTCACAGGAAAGAGGATCGCTAGTGTTCTTCTAACTTATGACCATTCTCAAAAGGCCAATGCAATACCTGCATTAAAAAAACCCACGGCAACATTAACATTGACCCTGTAATGATATTCTTATACTTCAATCACTTAAATAAATAAAGCCAGTGTCGCACGTACAAAGAACTTCACCTGTTCTTTATTAATCATAACCTGCTTTCTTTATAGCATTTCCTTTTAACATTTAAAAAATCAGCAGCTTTTCCAGAACTACATATAAAAGAAATGATCTAACTATCTAAATTCAGATAAATTATAAATTGACAACTGGAAGATCTGGAGATTAAATGGAAAATCAGGAAGATGTGATGAAAAATTGTAAATCTTCTAGTATTAAAGGGATGGTTAGCAGCTCTATTGATGATTTCTTTAAGATTATGGTTTAAAAAATACATGCAACGCATTTTGATGATGTAATTAATTGTGAATGTAATACATTTTCAGTTGTTTGTTACAGACAGTATAATGCCTTCACTGCCTTCCAAATAAAATTTAATCTTAAAATTAATCAACACAATTTCAGGAATTATTACATTCTTTGAACACAGTCAATCAAGTTTTATGTAAACCATCACTACTTCTTTCATCTGACCGCTCACTTTGCTTTATTTGTTTGTAAAGTTTTCACCATTCCAATTTTTATTATATTTTGAAAGTACTTTTCAAACCTTCTGGAGTGAATGCATACTCACGTCAAATTTCCTTTATGGCATCTGAATGATTAAACTTTTTTAAAAAGAATGAGTAAAACAGCTAAGCATTGTCTCTTTCATTTTTCATTAACCTTCTCTGCTGAAACATCTTGAGGTTTTTAAGGACTCTTATATCCAACAGCTGGGCAAAAGGCACAATATTGGCAATTATACTAATCACATAATCCTCTTAACAAAAATACAAAAAAACAAACAAACTTTAATGAAGCCCTGTAGAGAAAAAGTAAAGTACCCCCCTCAGGATCAAAATTACAAAAGATACAATTAATTAAGATTCTTGGGGATTGTATATAAATACTGCTACACATGCTGCTTCTGAATGCAGATTTCTGAATGCTACCTTAAACCAGAATGAAGCAAGAGAACTAACTCTATTTAAAATTCCAGTTTGTAAAAATGTTAAATATAAGAAATTTCATGCATAATCAAATTCATTATACAATCCCAAAAATTAATGGATATTTGTGCATTAACCAATATCTTCGACATACTGCCAAAAATATGCTTTCTGACTCTGCTTCCTAATAGCATTTAGTAACTCTACACGCTTGTCCTGACTTCCTTAGAAAGATATGACTTTTTTATTTATTTTCTTGTTAATGCTTTTAGTCGAGGTAGAGATTGCTTTTAGTTAAAGAGTTGAAATACTCTTCACTTCCTTTTTAAAAATTTCAGCATCAATTTCAGACCAATTAGAGCTAACATGCAGTTACAAGAATTGCACTTCCCCCACCCAAACATTTTTCCAGAGAAAGTTTTCAGGAGTACATTTGTTCAATAAATATATTTTTTTAAAAACAACATTTGTAGAGATTTTTCTAGCATCAAAAATATAAACATGATAACAAGCGATTAAAAAAACAAAATTTTTATTTTAATAAATTTGAAATTTAAATTTTCAAGTTTTTGTAAACTGCTGATAGTGTTGCTAATCCAACTGCACAAGCTTAGAATGTAATGCTAGAAATAGCACACAGACTCAATTTACAGAAAACTGAACTGCTAGAGCTTCAGTGAGTATTTTTTTATTATCTATTTCTCCTTTCATTTAAGAGTGTAAAAACTACTTAAAAAATAATCTGATAGCAAATACATAACATTTTGCCATAAAATATTTTGATACATTGATACATGTTTACAGCAGAATTCTTTAAGGATACATTTTTACAATGAATGCTTTCAGATAATTTCTCTTTTATTTATTCTTTTTTCTCTCTTTTATGTTTTCCTTTTGTGCTCATATTATTTTCTTTGTACACACTGTTTTAAAAATGTAAAAATTTTGCGTTAAATAAATATTGATTAAGTAATTCTTAAAGTATGAGTATGTTCCTGTTAGTTATTTATGAGTCAACCTTAAATTTTCCCACTCATAGTAGTGAAGCTAAGGCGGCACCACTCTTCACAGTGGACAGATACAACTTAATGTGCATGCTTGAATTTTTTCTCCACATTGTCAAGAGTGCCATTCACTGCCCCCCTTGTTGCCAGTTGAGGTGCTGTTATATATGTTTGTTGATTTTTGATTTCTCTCAAGATAACTGAATAAGTTGAGCAAGATACTACATCAAATTTTGTCAAAAGCTTAGTGATTCTCAAAGCAAAACAATTTGTAAGATTCAGCAGGTGTTTCGAGATAAAGATACAAATTAATGAATGGATCAGCCATGACGCAGAAACAAAAGTACAGTCATCACAGTGGAAGCATCCTGAGTCCCCGAGGCTGAAAAAAGCATGACAGGTGTAAAGCTAAATCACAGTGATGTTAACTGCATTCTTTGATATTTGTGGAACAGTGCCTAAGAATTATGTGCCAGGAAGACAAACAATGACAAAAGAGTATTACTAAAAATTCTACGTCAATTCTGTCATGCAGTTAAGCATAAAAAGCCAGATCTATGAATCACAAGAAAACTGGCAGTTGCATCCTGGCAATGCTCTAGCATTTTCATCATGCTAAATTAATACTTCTGGATAAAGCATGGAATTCCAGTCATTAATCAACCTCCCTACTTTCCACACACAGCTCCCAGCGACTTCTGGTTGTTTCTGAAACTGAAGACGACATGGAAAAGATCGCATTTTCAAAATAGAGAAGAAAAAACACAGAATGCAATGGAAGAGCTAAATATCATTCTAAAGGAAGCCTTCCAGAAATGTGTTCAGCAGTGAAGGATCTGTGGGCTGTGTGGAAGTGCAAGAGGCCTACTTTAAAGGGAATCAGGATCTCACTCCCGTCATATAAGTAATATTTCTCCCCACCAGAGGTTAGATACTTTTTAGACAGCCCTCATATATGTAATTATTCCAGATTTAATGTAAAAATTAGAAATGAAAAAATATAAACAAACTTCAGAGATATTAATGACCAGTAATCCACAAAATCTTTTAATTCCCATAACCCTTGATCCCAAAGTGAGCAGATTCTACCATAATAATATTTTCATTCACTGTTCTTTTCAGAATACATTTGCATACTGATCAGCTTCATCCATAAATGCTTTGATTTTTACATTATTACTCTAGTACAGTGATCCTCAACCACTATGCCATGGCACTTTTGTGTGCCGCCAAATTTTAGAAATATATACAGTAAAAATTATAATGGGTTTAATCCTAGTATACGATATACATGAGAATTGGCGAAATTCGATTTTTAAAATATTAATAAGCGTGCCAATTGTGGCATCCAAGCCAATGCCGAAGACTTCTGTATTTGAATTAACTTTGAATGAAGAGGAAGAGCTAATTTTGCTTTATAATAATCGAGATTTAATTTTAAAATCTTCGGAAGAATCAATGAATTCATTTTGGATTTACATCAGACGTGATTATCCCATGACGGCCAAAAAAAGCTTTTAAAATATTATTATAGTTTTCTACATCTTATTTGTATGAGTTTCCAATATAAAAACGAAAAAAAGATCGAGACTGTTAAATGTAGAGGATGATATGACAGTAGCATTGTCATTTTTACGACCAAATATAAATGAAATTATCAAGCTCAAATTTCTCATTAAAAGTATTTTTAATTTGTAATTAATCTCTTAATGAACATACTGCTGTTTTTGTAGTACATATTTTATTTTACATTCAAAATTATTATTATAAATTATTTTACACAGTGTATTATAAGTAAGTAAACCACTTTTAAACTTATCTTTTTTTGTGTATGCCGTCAAATTTTGAAATCATTAAAAGTGTGCTGCAACAAAAAAAGGTTAGAATCACTGCTCTAGTAAAATACCATATAATGCTCCAATTCATAAGATTTTTATATTATTACTCTAGTAAAATACCATATAATGATCCAGTTAATAAACATACCTTTGCATCTTGGAAATATGGGTTATGTAGCAACACCAAAGCAAGTAAAGTCAGCAAATAACAAAGCCCTTTTCTCCCACTAATATGAGCAACAAACATAATTGCAATGTATGATAAAAACACAGTAGTTGCTTGAGTTCCAATAATTGCTACAAGGCACAGCATGGAATAGAAAGCATAAAAGAAAGGAACACCCTGAAAATTTTACTTCAAATCAGATTACTTCTAAGTAAAATATAAAAGATAAATCAAGATATAACTTGAGTTTCACAGAACGAATAAATAAATAAGCATTACATTACAATCTAAATCCCTTTACAATTTACCATTATAGTTTCAAAAAGTTGAAATAAATATTAAAAAAAATAATCTGAAAATTTCAGATAAATTTCAGTAATTTCACAATTAAAACTGTTGAAGAATAAAAAGTAATTATTAAAATAAACATAATCAAGATAATTTAAAACAAAATGTTCTAGGCCAAGATGCTAAAATCCTGTTTAAAGATGAGCAAAGTAGGAACTTTTACAGATGACCTATCTGCTTCATTAGCTAGGTGGAAAGAATGATTTGATCAAGTTTGCCTTCTTTTACTGTTATTTTCTACTGGATTGCTTAGCATATGAATATTGTATTTTGAAGGTTTAATGTCCTGGAATGTCCATATACATAGTAAGTTGAAAGGAAGGTCTCTGTTGTAACATGATTTAGTGGCAATTTCAGCCCAAATGGATGACATTTAGGCTCCTATAAACAGATCTTCCTTTTTATAGGCTTGGCTATTGGCTCTAAACACCCAATTGATGTTAATGTTAGTTGTTGGCTCTAAACAGAAACTTTTATTGATATTAATTGATCCAAAACAAATTACAGTGTTAGTGCTATCGTCAACAGAGCATTTAGTATTTTATACACACTCCTGAACTTTTTTCTTGAATTCTTCTTGACTAGATCAACCATTTTATCCAATCTGAATACTCCAATACCATTTTTGGTCATGAACTTTCTCGTTTTCCAGATGCAGAAAGATGCACTTATTCAGAGTAGAAATACTTTTTTATTCTCCAATAAAACAAAAACAGTTTTGTTTCCAGTGAGGGGTATATGAAAATCTGTGACATTCTCCATAGCCATTTCTGTATGCTCATTAATTTGTTAAGCATTATTTTCTATTCTGAGAGAATATTTGAGGCCCTTAAAAAGTATCTTCTTCATATGCATTAGAATTTTGATCTTTAAAAAATTAACAATATTACGATATTCTATATTGGGTTTGTCTAAAATTTTTTTAAGAATATTCTCTAATGGGTTTGTCAAAATTTCTTTTAGGATGTCTATAATACATCTCTCTGGAGAGGAAATTCCTTTGCTTGAAATGTCTCAATCTCACTTTTTATTTTACTGTTTCTATCATAGTTATTATTTTCTATACAAGATTATCAAAAATTAAAGGTGGAACACATGAGTTGAACTTCTGGTATAAAATATAGGCTTTTAATTCCAACTTGGCTACAGTCGCTTTAGGTCCTCTTGTTGCTCGCTGCTTTAATCTAAATGAAGTTCCTTCTAGCATCTTAGGAAAATTCTTTTCTTTTTGAAATTTCAGTTGTTAATCTTGAACGCTATAGGTATAATTTCATGTTGACAGCATTTCTGTAAAAAACTTTATTTTTTATAGATAATATATTAATTTACTCCTTGTGTTTTTGAATGTTTTCTATGCATGACATCATTCCCTAGAGCCACACCAATAAATTATATACACTGAAGATATATAAGTATTAAACAGCACACCCAGTTAAAATAAAATGTTCTAGGCTGACTCACTAAAGCCATGTTTAAACACAATACAGTCAAAAGTCGTTAATCTGGACTCGTCGAGACTTCGGCGATTCCAGATTATCGATTTTTCCGGATTATAGATCATCAATTTAAATCTGGTAAGATGGCATGCAGAAATTATAAAATTAAAAATATGAAACTGAAATTTATGAAATAAAGAACAATTATGATCTAAAAGGTATCAAAATTAAAAAAAAAAAAAAAAAAAAAAAAAAAAAAAAAAGCTTTATTTCTTTCAATGTAAGTTGTTTAAGTTGCTTCGTTTTTTATGTGATAATACATTCTCTTTAATTCTATAAACAGACATAATTTCTTGTTCAGTTACAAAGTTCCGCTGTTCAAGTCCTATAATTGCTGTGTCGAATACAGACTAACTTGTCATAATTAGAATACCGACTAATTTGTCAATCGAAATTTTTTCGTTTTCAATAACCTCTGTTACTTTCTTCGCTTTCGGAAGCAAATTATAATGACGAGGAATTTGATTTAAATCATATCAAAGACGGAGTACATCAAGATGAAATACTACATTTAGTAAGAAATTATAAGCCAAATAAAATAAAAACATCTACCCTGAAGATAAGGATAGTGATGACAGATCAACTTCCAATTCATTGCGTGCCACGGCGTTAAAGATAAACAAACGTTAAAGTTTAGATAAACAAAGGATATGCCTTTATCCATTTTTTGCAGCAATTCCACTTTTTTTTAATGGACCTTATCCATGTTGCTTCGTTTTTTATGTGATAATACATTCTCTTTAATTCTATAAACAGACATAATTTCTTGTTCAGTTACAAAGTTCCGCTGTTCAAGTCCTATAATTGCTGTGTCGAATACCGACTAATTTGTCATAATTAGAATACCGACTAATTTGTCAATCAAAATTTTTTCGTTTTCAATAACCTCTGTCACTTTCTTCGCTTTCAGAAGCGAATTATAATGACGAGGAATTTGATTTAAATCATATCAAAGACGGAGTACATCGAGATGAAATACTACATTTAATAAGAAATTATAAGCCAAATAAAATAAAAACATCTGTCCTGAAGATAAGGATAGTGATGACAGATCAACTTCCAATTCATTGCGTGCCACGGCGTTAAAGATAAACAAACGTTAAAGTTTAGATAAACAAAGGATATGCGTTTATCCATTTCTTGAAGCAATTCCACTTTTTTAATGGACTTATACTTTCGCTTTGAAGATCCTTTACATATTAGTAAATATATATCAGAAATTCTATTCGACTTAATCGAAAGTTCAAGCTTACTTTTATAAAATTGCTCTAACAGTCTGCAAAAAATAAAATAAGCCGAATCCAATTCGAAGATTAAGAAACAACACAATCTGCAACATTAACTGAATTAGATAACTTTAGCTTAGCTTATACCAACTGTTATACATTAAACGCGCATTCATAAACGTATTCTGTGCACGCGCACATGCATATTCACAGCCGTAAAGGTCTTACGCGCATGCGTCAAACCGACGCATAAGCAGAAAGTTTGTAGCTTTGAGGTCCGGATTATAGATCATTCCAGATTATTGGTTGCCGAATTAACGACTTTTGACTGTAGTATACTATGAGTTTTTGCACATGATGCATCTGCTTCGTCAGCTGACGCTAGAATAAATGGTTCAAGCAAGCTCTTTTTTTATTGCTATTTTCTGCAGGGCTGCTTGGCATAGTTACTGTATTTCTCAGGATCGATATCCAGAATTAGATTAGAGCTTCCAAATAAGACGAATAAATGGCTTAATTTTTCAAATATATCTGATAATAAATGGCTATCCATAAAAAATAATATCTAAGAATAAATGGCTATCCATAAAAATTAATATCCAAGAATAAATGGCTCAATCAAGATCTCTTTTTATTGCTGTTTTCTGCAAGGCTGCTTTGCATAGTTATTGTGTTTCCCCAAGATCAATATCTAGAATTAGATTAGAATATATAAACTCGGTAACTGAATGGGACAAAACCAAAATCATCAACCAACCCCAGCATAAAAGCAGCCTTAAAATCAGAAAAGCACTAGAAATTATACTACTACAGAGACTTCTTTTCAATCTACCATACACCTAGATGCCAATCTTGAAAATCACAACAATCCTATGGGTTCATGTTCTTTAATGCAAAAAATTTGACCATTGTTTCAGTTTGACTGATATACAGGGTAACCGAAAAGTCCATTATCATTTGAAAATTCAAAAATTCATGGAATAATGTAGATAAAGAGGTAAAAACTGACACAAATGCTTGAAATGACACAGGGTTTTATTGAAAGTTAAAAACAATAATAAATAAATAAATAAAAAAGACCAACATATGGCACTGGGCAGTAAAATGCCAGTGACGCTGCATTTGAGAATTGTGTCTGAAATGAGCTGTAATGAAAGAAGGAATCAGTCCCATCATGACTTTGTCACTTTTCTATCCTCGCCTCTGGGTGTTGGTTATGGTATGGATGTGGATTTATCACATCAATCATGATTGGACCTTTCTCTTTGAGGAAATATGTGGTTCTGCTATCAAATTGTCAGTGTGACAGATGTGAGAAGTGCTGATATGTTACAGGATTACATCATTCCTAGACTAGTTGATAAACACCTGTTGGAAGGTATGACTTTTATGCAGGAAGGTAGTTCACTTCATATTGCTACACATGTGGAAGATCTCTTGCACACATCTTTTGATGAAGATTGTGTGCTGAACCACCAGTTACACCTGTCAGGTCCCCAGACCCAATCCAGGTGATTATTGGTTATGGGGTTATCTGAAATTGCAAGTCAAATGCAATCATCCAACCTCATCAGGGATGCTAAAAGACAACATGGTGATGGCAAATTCTCATCATATCTACAGATATACTTTACAGTGCTGTTCAAAGCATTGATGATCGACTACAGGTGTTGTTGATGAATGACGGCCAACATGTTGAATAGTTGTTATAAAGTTTAATATACAGTAATAGTCTTTCCTAAAAATCTGTTGTTAGGCTAATTATTGCTTTTGTTATCATATGAAGCCCCATACGTTAATCACTTTGAGTAATTTTTTTTTTTTTTTTTTTTTTTTTTTCTTTTTGCTTTTAATAAAACCCCATGACATTTCAAGTACGTGTGTCAGTTTTTACCTCTATATCTATATTACTCAGTGAATTACTGAACTTTCAAATGTTAATGAACTTTTGGGTCACCCTGTATATTAAACTGTATTGACAATGATATAAATTTCTGAAGAATTAAAATCACTGACCAGATATTTAAGAACTAAACAATGAATTTTACTGATATATGAAAAACGTACTGTTCTGTTACTGGGACCGGAATCGTTGCCAAATATTCTGCTAAATTTGCCAAGAGATTAATTTATGTGAAGTCGCCAATGTTTACTTTTAAATTTGTTACAATGCTTACATTTTAAAAAAGTAAAAGAATGCATTTCAATATTAGCAACGAGAATGCAAATTCTAAAGATTGTAACAGTCACTTTTGTTTTTATTATTCTAATATTTACCATGGAGTTAAAATTTTGGGACTTGCCTAATGATGAAACATCTTCCATACAATTTCTTCATAAATGATTGGTCATGTTGGAAGAAAGTGCACGAAAAACCATAAAATGAAGTTCTACTTCAATTCAAAAGAAACACCGGAATGGAGATGTAAAGATCCGGATTTGAACATTTCTGCCTTAATCATAAGTATAATTTTATTGATCCCGATACTAGTTATCATACTCAAACTTTTGAAAAGTTATAGGACAGTGCGAAACAAACTTCAACGTGGTGCTAAGTGTAACCAATTAGATTCTTACTTGAGTTAATGTGGCGGCAGCAGCATCCTAAATTGCAAATCTTTTCAGACATTTTAAATAATAGCCGCAGTTTCATGCCTCTGCATTAATCTTAATTCACTAAATTATTATCCTAATATTTATCATGGAGTTGAAATTTTGGGACTTACCTAATGATGAAACATCTTCCATACAATTTCTTCACGAATGATTGGTCATGTTGGAAGAAAGTGCACGAAAAACCATAAAATGAAGTTCTACTTCAATTCGAAAGAAACACCGGAACGGAGATGTAAAGATCCAGATTTGAACATTTCTGCATTAACCATAAGTATAACTTTATCGGTCCCGATACTAGTTATCATACTCAAACTTTTGAAAAGTTATAGGACAGTGCGAAACAAACTTCAATGTGGTGCTAAACATAACCAATTAGATTTTTACTTTAATGTTAATGTGGCGGCAGCAGCATCCTAAATTGCAAATTTTTTCAGACATTTTAAATAATAGCCACAGTTTCATGCCTCTGCATTATTCTTAATTCACTAAATTCATTAACTGTTTTTCTTTCCTACTTTTTCTGGTAATTTGCTTAATTTACATTAAAAAATTCTAACTGTAAGAATATCTGTTATGTTATTTTTTCCCTTGGACTTTTCTTCAACTAAACCGTATCAACAATAATTTGGTGATTATTTTTATGCTTCAAATTTCTCACCAGATCGTCAGCTTTTGGCTTGATCTGAATCCAGTTCCAATAACAGAACAGTATCCCCCCCCCCAAAAAAAAATTACCTAAAAGTTAAACTGGAGAATCTGAGCAATTTTGTAACTGGTAGAAGGATAAAAGGCGATGATAATAAAGTTGTTACACAAATTTTGCTTTTGCTATCATAACACATAGCCTACAGTCAGAAGTAATCACAAATATTTTGTGGTATACAATTAGAATTCATTATTCTGATATTAGAAATATGGCAGAAACATGTTTTCAAACTTGTTTCAGTAACAGATGACACTGCATTTAATTTCTCTAAACAGCACTGATCATTATAAATATGATTTTCTTGGGATAGATTGTTACTCCTCCCATTTTTAAAAAATATTTTAGTTTCTGAAAGAGATTAGATTGCTACTAGTTCTATTTAAAAAAAAAATAAAAAATATTTCAGTTTCTGAAAGAGAAGGACACTGACCATTCTTAGTCTGATCACTCTCAAAATCGATAGTTTTATTCAAAATTTATACCATTCTAAGGTTGCTTTTTCCTGCTTAATTTTAAATGTCATATAATATTTATTTCATTTTTTAAAATTTTTAATTATATAAGATATCTATTTTTTATGCTTTGCTGAGAAATGCCTAATGTTGTTTAATAATGCAGAATCTAAAGAGCAGCCAATATACATTTTTTCATGTATCCTTGCACTATAATAACCTTACACTTTTAGTAGTTCCTACCTCTATTCCTGTAATTAATAAAATTTACATGACATAAAAATCCACTGTAGATTCATTTTATCCATCAATATATAAAAAAAGAAGCAATATAATCAGCAGTACAACCAAAAAACTGTGAACAATTTTTCATGAAAAATAATAATTCCATTAATAAAAACATCAGAAATGTAATTAATATATTGCAGCAGTTTAGAGATGCTTACATAATGATAAGAAAATGCATAAGTTAAAAAAGTATTTGTGAGAATAAATTAATAAAATGTTTAATTATAAATAGACAGTTAAAAATAACCCATTGCTGATAAAATGATATATAAAATAGCAAATAAATATATGAGGGAAAAATTTTGAATACAATTATAAACAAATGTAAAATTCAAAAATACTTACATTTCTGTGCATCCTTAAAATAAACTGTGTGCAGAATATTTGGAACATAAGAATAATCCAGTAACGTTTAAAAGTGTCACTTATGATGGACCACTCAACATCAGAATTATCCTATGAGCAAACACATATAATTCTGTCAGAAAAATATATGTTGAAATCACACAAAACTAAGTTACATATCTAAAATAATATTTAAAGGGAAAATGCCACAGATATTTTTGTAAATTTCTGTAAATATCTGAGCCAATTTGATTACATTCTTGTTTCTGTGCATTGTAATGATATTACATAATGTTTTATCAATTTGTTTGTTTACTTGTTGCATTTTAGTTAAAACTTTTACAGTACTTCTGTGTAATTATGAGGTCAGTCCATAAATTCATGCGCATTAAGAGTATGCGTGGAATTCACTACAATGCATTTACTAAAACAATACAATTTTGAACCTGCTGAAACTTTTCATCGTTTGATTAATATATTATTCAGTTCATCACCAACTTTCGTAAATATTGAATGCATTTTAGTACCATACAAGATAAGTATAGATAATCATTACAAACGTGATGTGCTACATTTTTTATTTTCGTGTGGTGAATCTGCCAGGTCTGCAGCGATAACAATTAATTGTGTACATCGTGAACACACTTTTAGTGTAAGGACTGCCCAAAAAATGGTTTAAAAAATTTTAAGTTGGAAAAAGCAGCATTGATGATGAACTCTGTTCAAGACGTCCTGTTAATTTTAATGATGACATTCTTCAAAATTTTGTGGAATCAGAGCCACAATTAACAGTGGATCAGATCACAGAAAGGATGAATTCATCTCATGGAATAGTCTTTCATCATTTAAAGAAGATTGGGAAAATATCCAAGCTTGGAAAGTGGGTACTGCATGAGCTATCTGAAGCCAATTGGCAACAGCGAATAAACGTCTGCACTTCCCTTTTATTGCGTTTCGAAAGAGAGCCATTTTTAGATTGTTTGGTTAACAGGTGACGAAAAATGGATTATTTATCATAACATCACAAGAAAAAGAACGTGGACAGATAGAGATAAGTAGCCGATTCCAACAGCAAAGGTGTCTTTACATCCCAAAAAGATTCTTTTGAGTGTTTGGTGGGAAATGTATGGTGTAATTTATTTTGAACTGTTAGAACCAAATCAAACGACTAATTCAGAAGTTTATAGTGAACAATTTTGTCATCTAAACTCAGAATTAATAAAAAAAAAAACGCCCACGATTGGCGAATATCAAGAAAGTGTTGTTTCATCATGATAACGCTAGACCGCATACGGCTCGAACAATGCTAGAAAAAAAAAAGTGAATTTAATTGGGAGCTTTTGCCACATCCTGCTTACTCCCCAGACATTGCCCCAAGTGATTTTCACTTATTTCAAGCCTTACAAAATTTTTTACTAGGAAAAAAGTTAAATTCTAAACAGGATGTACACAATGAACTTTCAAATTTTTCTGCATCAAAACCAGAGTCTTTTCTACAACAATGGCATAAAAAAGCTGCCTGTAAGATGGCGAGACATTGTAGATAATGGAGGAAAATATATTATTGATTAAAATGTTAAACGGTGTTTTTTATATTATTTAAAATTTACCAAAAAATGTGCACGCATTTATGGACTACCACATTAAATCCGTAGAAATTGCTTTTTGTTTATAAGTTTTTATTTAAATTCTATAGTTCTGAATCCATAACATTTAAGGTGTGAAAACAGCTCAATCAGAGAATAAGACGGAGACAAAAACCCACCTGAAGGGCCACAGTAACAATTTATGTTGCAATTTTCTGAAAGTTTTATGCACACAAATTTTTCCAAGTACTAAGAGAGAATTTTTCTAAAGATTGCGAAAGCTCAGGAAAGCATATAAATACAGATCTGACAGACAGTAGCCAGTCTGTTCTATGTAATTTCAAAGAGACTGTGGTTCAAACAAACTAGTTGAATTACGTTTTAAAGTTTACTTTGTGAGTGATATCAGAAAGCTACTGTAATTCTCATGTGTTAAGAAGGAGCATCAAGTGCCCACAAGGATACAGAAGTATGAATGGAAATTAAACATCATAAAGGACCTTTGCATAGAAATGCTGATGCAGTTTCAAGACTGCACAGAAGCCTGTAAACATTGTTCAAAAGGAAAAAAATAAATAAAGGCTTTAAAGGCCTACTTGTCACAAAAATTAATAGACTAGCATCATAGGCTGATCCCTAGAAGAATGAAGAAATGAGAAATGCCTAAATGGAAGATTCTAAAATAAGACCAATGAAGAAGCGAAAAACCCAGCTCACGAAAATTTGCATCCTTTAGTGCGACAATGAAAATAGGCTGTGCTTTATGGGATTCATTTCACCTGCAAGATGGAGTTCTCTACCACAAATGGGAAACTGGTGACAGAAAGACATTTAGATAGCAATTCATTTTACCGAGATTTGGAATCCTTAGCATTCTGTCAGAGCTTCACAGTACTCTGGTGGAAGTCATTTAGGTGAAACAAATACACTACATTACATTTGTGAATGTTCTGGGGCAAGGCAAATGGAATAAAATGATGCTAGTCCTGAGATGCATTTCAAGCTCGAAAAGATTGGCAAACAGATACATTCACCCTTCACGTATTGTGAATTAAAAGAGATAGTCCAATGTTGTTCGACTAATGTTCAATAAATAGAGTCAGTAGGACTGTTACAAAAAACTGCTTTTACTCATGCTGATATATAGGAGTGTTGCTTATGACAGCACCAAACTTTCCCCATCAGAAATTACTTTTGGCTATGACCTTCAACTGTCATGTGATTTGGTTTTTGGATGATTGTCAGACAGTTCTTCAACTGAGCAGATATTGAAAATCTGCAAGCACATTTCATTAGTTAGAAAACATCCATTTGTTTGCAGGAAGAGCATCAACATAGTGACTGAGAGGATGAAGACAAGATACAGTACAATCCAGATTCGTCAGGATTCATCATTTTAAACTTAGTAAAATGACATGTAGATATTATAAAATTAAAAATATGAAATAGTAGCTTATGAAATAATGAAACATTTATGGCATTAAGAGAATTAAAATTTACAAAAAAAGCTCAGTATTTATTTGCTTTCTTTATTAAACATTTCTTTCAACATAAGTTGTTTATGTTGTTCCATTTTTTGTGATAATACTTCCTCTTTAATTCTATACATAGACATAATTTCTTGTTCAATTACAAAGCACAAGTCCTGTAATTACCAGGTTGACTATTATCACTAAACTTTCAATTGAAATTTTTTTGTTCACAATAATTTCTCATTTACTTTTTTTAATTCAGTAGCAATATTTTCTGGATTTAGAATCATATTATAGACTTTGCTGACTGTTAGATGATTGATGATTGGGGCATTATTACCAAAAAATAAATTTCTGCTATATCATCTTCATTTATTACCACTTCTCTAATTTTCTTCACAAACTCCAGTAACTGGAAAATTTTCCAGTAAAAATATATTTATGGGTGCCCCTTGGCAATAATTGGTGATTTTTGGCAATACATGGACACCAAGTTTGTTACTTGTTATTTTAGCTTCGTGTAGCAGCTATTTTTGCACTAAAAGTCGCTGCTACACAATTCCAAAATAAGAAGTCAAAGAATTGTACAAACTCAGTATCCATGTACACATCAACCTATTTTCGCTTTAGAAAAAAACCAGAGAATTACACAAACTAGGCATGTTCGGATTGTTGTCACGTTTATTAAGGTGACACAATGGATGCTGATTGTGAGCAAAAGACTGAACATTAAATTCTGCGTTAAGTTCGGGGAAACCCCTAGTGAAGCATGGAACATGATTAAGCAAGCATATGCAGGCAAGGCACTTTCAAGGAGTTGTGCTTTTGAGTGGCACAAAAGGTTTTATGAAGGCAGAGATTCAGTTCAAGACGATTGCAGAGCTGGTTGCTCGTTTGTAGCACATACTGATGCAAAAGTGGTGCATGTAAGGGCTGTTATTGCAAAACTGTCATGTAACTGTGAGTACGATATCAGAAGAACTGAATTTGAATTGTGATGTGCATCATAAGATTTTACCCAAAGATTTAGGGAAACAAAAACTTAATGAAAGAATTGTTCCTCTCTCACTAACAGACGAAAAGAAAAAGGAAAGATGACGAATTTCTGCTGAACTACTGGATAGAGCAAGACGTGATCCCAAATTTGTGTGAAAGATTATTGTGATTTTTTTCTTGTTTCCGTGAGTGAAAAGGTGACTGAAAGGAAAGCTTCATCAAGATTATTGCATACATCCAATGGACTTTGACAAATGAGCTTGCAAGCATCAGAGATGACGATTTCCCTGCTTGCTTCCAAGATTTCCAGAAATGTTTGCAGTTGTGTATAGATAGCCAAGGAGACTACTTTGATTAGCAGTTAGGATCATTACTTGGCAAATATAATTTTCTATTTTTATGGCCTTTGTCTAGGAACTTTTCTGACAAAGGATATATATTACTAGATTATTTAATGGAACTATTGCTGATGTACACTGATAACTATGGCTATTTAAAATGAAGAATTAACACGAAAAAAAGTTGACAATGGAGATACCATGTCTTTAGAAAAACTAAGGAAGTAATTTTAGCCATTTATTTTCTACAAGTATGTTAGGCTTAAAATTTATTGAATGCCCTAGGTATAGTCCTAATTTAATTAAACCTCAGGTTTCAATGGTTGTCATCACTTCTTTTACAGTCTAAAAATATTTGAAATTTTACATCCCAGGACTTACTAAAAAAAGTTTTAATACATTCCAAAATAGACTGTATATAAATTACATACCTTTTTTTCTCCTTGTAAAATCTGCCAACCATTTTGAAAATCATCAGGATTCAATGCATAAAAATATTCTAAAAAAATAATAAAACTATACAAATTAGAAATAAATGTAACAAATATCCCTCTTTGTATCAGACAGACAAATATCTACTACAATACATTTTACTATATCTATCAATTCCTTAAATGTAATCACTTCATATGTTCAATTTGAAATTTTCTTCAAAACAATTCTTTTAAAAATTGTTTAATTTTTTATGTAATGTTATATGACTTTGATATATTTGCAATCACAGATGATTGGTATATTTGCTGTCTTTTTATTTTTTCTAGAAAGGAGCAAGTACTTGTAAATATGGCACAAGTCTAACTTCAGTACAAGCTGCAGAATGATGTGCTGCAACATGTAAGCATAAGAGCTATAATGAGTTGCTACTTCTAGGCATACAAAAAGAAATGTTGTACAAGCTGTAATGAACATCTTAAAATAAGCTTTTTCTTTGAGCATGATACTGCTTTTATTTGAATTATATTTCAAATGTTGCTGCTGTTGTCGCTGTTTCAAATGGCCAGACATTTGCAATACATCTATTGGGAACGGCTGATACTCCTACGTCAAACCCTCTCATCACCAAGAACATTGCCCAGAGTGCACAGCATGTGGCAACCAGTTTATACCTATAAGAAAATGGAAGTACCATCCCAATTTTGGTAGAGAACATCCTGCGAGATACAAATGTAAACAAACATTGAAATATATTGCAGAATCTTGAAGAAGAAGAATTGATTTTTAACTTACGAGGATGCAAGCTTCCTTAAGAAGCATAAAGATGCATGAACTGCAGAAAAATCGCAAATTCAATTTAAAGCTCACTTGCAAATTATTATTATGAGACAATGGAAATGAGAAAAAATTTTGAATTCAGCGATAAAGAGCCTGACTGTAGGGTTGCTTAAATGATGCATAACAGGAATCCTCATCCGGAATTTTATTTCGATTTTTGTGACTTTTAACTCAAAGGCAACTATAACTGACCTGAAAATTTTGGATTTATCTTCTATAGGAAATGGAGCTATATACTCTTTAGAAGAAAAGGGAATGGCATTAACTTTACTTGGCAATTTTTACATTCCTTGCAAAGTTATTTTGCACCAGGCTATTGCACAAGTTTAAAAAACTTACCTTTACTAGATTTAACAAACTTTAGAAGGGACCATAATACTGAACTAGTCCAAACAGCCCAATAAATGATCCGTTCTAGTTTCACTTTCATTCTGCTGAAAAGAAAGAGATACAAATCAGACTTGATTTAGAACAGCAATTAATAAAAAATAATAATAACAATAAAAAGGAACAAAATATCACCCAATGAACAAAGGAAAATGAGAAAAAAAAAATTTCTTTAAGAATTAAACAATACTTTAGTTACAATACAAGTAGGATAAAGTATTTGAGAATCAGATTTAAATCAAAAATTTACATTAGACTAGACCAGTAGTATTCAAAATTTTTGGCAATGTGACTCTACTAGAAACACTGAAGTAGTATGTTGACTCAAAAGTATACACAATTAATAAACTAACTGCTCAAAACGTAACACTAGGTAATATAAAAAATCAGGAGAATGTTGCTTTTTTTATTATTTCATACAAAACTAATATTAGTGTCAAAGCAAGTACAACAAATTGAAAATCAACTGTGTAGTTAACAAATACTTAGTTCAAAAATTAACTAGCACTAATCATTTATAAATTAAAATTAAAACACAGGGTTATAACAGGGAGGAGGAAGTTTTAAAAAGTTCAATTTTAAAAGACTACAAAAAAAATTAATGAGACCTACGAGTCTGTGTCTTATTTATAGGTAGTTATATTTATGGTTTCATTATGAGCAGGTTAAGTCTTACAGGTGTTACAGGTGGCTCTGCTGTTAATCGGTTTCAGTATTTAAACTGTTCAGTATACAGAAATTGGGAAAACACCATCTTACACATACAAGATAAAGTAAATGCTAATAATATAAATTTTAAAATTCTGAAAACAAATTTTAATTCTCTATCAAATGATAACTCAGTATTGTGCTTAAATGAAATAATTTTTTAAGTAACACAAACTGAAAAAAAAATTCAGATCCATTCAGAGCCTGAAAAATAGATATTAAATCGATACTTAACATCTGTCAAGTGAGTTATTATCTCTTTAATAAAGGATTAAACAGCCTTTAATTTGTTTTCTAGTTGCAAAACTTTCCAGTAGTAAAAAGAATAAAAGTAGGAAATGCTGCAAAATTAATTTCCAAGCAGTATTAACACCACAAATTAATTTTCTTTGCAAAGTCTTTGATTTTATCATTAGCTATTAATATTTTTGAGTTAAAATAACTCACTAAATAATGATTATTGGAGAAGTTAAAGCAGCAAGACCCGATTTATTATTAATATTGCAGGATTAGTCTTGAAGTTTAAATATAAACTCTTCTGCTTTACCTGCAGAAGTGCAAATGATGAAAGAGAAGCCAGGGCTCATGCAGTAGCGTAGCTAGGGTTAGACAAGGGGAGACATCTGTTCCTGGGTGCAGCATCCAGGGGGTGCCAAGCTGATGTTATGAAATTTTAGAATAATATGTTTTCCATTCTCCGCACACAGAAAAGGGTGCAAAATCTTCAGTTGTCCCCGGGTGCTGAAAACCCTAGCTGTGTCTCTGTGCTCAGGTGGTAAAAAAGAGAGGAAGGAAGTCAAACTGCAGGCACCATCTATTCATGAAAAATACAAACAACTATGAAATAACTTCCTTAAAAGCTGGAGGGAAAGACAGATTGGAACTAAAATCATTAACAAGAACTGAAAGATTTTCATAAACGTGAAATGCATCTAGAAAAATCTAATTCAGCAAAAGAAGATGTTTTCAGAATAATTTTGGCTGCAGAAAAATGAAAAAGCAATTTTCTGAACAGTAGATATATGTGTTTCTTTTTTTTACTAACATATGTTCATTACTGAAAAATTTTAGGCTCTTTTAAATGACCAATGTAAATTAAAAACCACATCAGCATGAAATCCTGTATTATGCCCAACCAGCACTTGGACACACTCATAATTGAAGAAGAAACTGAACGTAAGGTAAATAGCATAAGCACAAAATCAAATGGCAAACAGAGTGGGATGAATGTAAACAAGACTGCAGCACGTACTACTACATCACACAAGTGGACAACAAACACAACATCACTTCTCCACAATTAACAAGATTTATTGTAGGACATGATGCCTTTTCTGAATATTTTAATATACACGGCATCAGCAGCACTGACCACTGTGTCTGTGGACAAAATGTAATTTATTTTTTTATTGTTATAAAACTGCATATTGCTTCAGATACTTTAAACTTCCAAAATATTTACTCATGCAGTCTAGATCAGTTTAACACTAAATTTTCATCTGTTAACAGATGAAAATTAACTGAGAATAAAAAAAATAGCATACTATTACTTTTTTTTAACCTAAAGGTAATCGTATTCTATATTAATTATTTATTCTATATTATTATTATTTTGAGAATTGATATAAGTCATATTTTGGGGTGTTGATTTTAAAAAATAAGTAACACTAAATTTTGTAGCAGTGAGATACTGCAGAATATTTAATGATCAAAATAAAAATAACCTTTAAACTAACACAATAGTTAGTTAAATGAAATTAGAATCAAGTCCGTTTTGGTTTGCATATTCAAAATAAGTAATTCAACACAGTAATTTTGCAATTATGGTAAATTGATTTCTTCTTTCAGTGGCGCTTAACACTTTGTTAATTTACTAGCATCATTGCATATCCAGAATCTGGGAGTTTTTATGAATATGTAAAAGCTATTCAATTCACGGTATATTTTTCTTATCGGAATCGGATTCAGAAATGAATGTGTGCATGTACGTATATATGTATGCACGTACTACTAACATACGTACATCCATGAATACATTTCTGAATCCGATCCCGATAAAAGAAAAGTACCCAATTCACTTACAAACTCAGTTATGAATTCAAACTATAAATTTAAACGTAACTTTTTCAAAAACAGAACTAATTATGTAAGAAGAAATTCAAAATTTACTTTTATGATTCACTTTACATATAAAATACAAAGTCCTTCATTGGCAGACGTTTCCCAATTCTTTATTACTACTTTTAATCAAAGAAATAACACAGCCTGAACACAATTATATTAAGAAGCACTATCATCCCAACTGCAGGTAATTCTGATAGCTGAAATATATACTTTCATATGAATAAATAGGCATATTTAATAATTTCAACTATAAATGCCAACCATAAGTATTTGGATTTTAAATTCATTTTATAGTTAAATTAGTTCCTTTCAATCCTAATTTGTTTTAAAAAAAAACCTAAATTAATCTCGCTTAAATTCAACATAGCCGCCTAATGTTTACATTCCCAGTTTCCAGGCAAATTTACACTTTAGCTTCCACCTAGGCACATTTCCTTCAAACATGTGTCATTGTTTTGAAATGTGGCATTTCAAGGTTTTTCGCTCCTGTCTTTCGTGAAAACGTTTAGCTAGATGATAATAATAAATCCTTAGCTGGACAGTTTTTTGTTCTTCAAGTATCCTTTTGTAATGAATATGCCAAGGAAAATATGTAATTTGCCTCAGCTCATTATTCTGGGCAGTCTGCAGTTGTTTTCTTTTGGTTTCGCAAGAATAAGCTCAGACTGGACAGGCATAACACAGCATGGAATGCAGACAGAGTCGTAGCTAGGGTTTTTAGCGCCCAGGGACAACTGAAGATTTCTCGCCCCTACTGCTTGCCAAGCATGGAATACATTTAATTATAAAATGTGGTAACATCAGTTTGGCGCCCCTTGGATTCTGCGCCCGGGAACAGATGCCCCTTGCTCCCCTTTAGCTACGCCCCTGAATGCAGAATAGCTGCATAAATGAGCAACTCATTTTTAAAAGACAGAATGCTAGTTCCAGAAGTCAAGGAGTAGAATATAACTTTGCACGTTCGAAACTTCTAGATTATAGATGTAATGTGTATGATCCATGAGAGAGAATTTGTCAGGATCACTCCAAGATAAGAGACTTGTTTATCTCATGGAAAAGTAGTTCCATAAAATTTAAGATTCTACTCAATTTTCTTTTTTTCAATGAAAAAAATCGCCACCGTTTCTTCAGTATTGATTTTTATTTCGCGCTTCGTTAGCCATTTCCCGATGAATGAAATCTGAAATGTACTTTCAGTAAAACAAGTTGTATTGGTTTGCCTTAGTCTCATATTACAGCTCAAACACATCAAAATTCGTAACTGGGAACAGCATTTAGAGTTAATGTCTTGAAAAGGGGAAAATTAAGGAGAATTAGGTTAAAATAAGAAAACTTGGGTCAGCCATCTGAAAACGCAAGGTTACGGCCCCGTAGCTTATTTTTCTGTCGACATTCTATAGTGCATGCGAGGAGCTTTAGTTTGATATCAACCAGAAGGACATTGCGAAGGTCGACTAGAAGTGGAGGCATTTAAGTCATTCTTCGTAAAGTCTGCCTCGGGGGTTATTAAGGTGAATTAAGCGAACATAAGAAAATTTGGGTCAGCCATCGAAAAACGAGAAGTGATGTCCCCATAATTAACTTTTCTGTCGACATTCTATGGTGCACAGAGAGCTTCGGCTGCTCTGATATCATCCAGAAGGACTTTGCGAAGGTGGCCTAGAAGAGGAGGCTGTTCAGCCATTCTTCGTAAAGTCTGTCCCTGCCGAAATGCGTATTTCCAAACCCTATCCAACTTTTCGAATTTTTGACTTCACGGAAATATCGACTAGTTTCACCTGGCAAGACACACACACAGATTGTATTTTATTCTCGAGAGTCAAGATGTAGAAACATCTTTTTACTCGACTTCTGATAAGAATCATGGAGGAGGAGAAAGTGTAGTGTGGAAGGAGGTGTGGGAGGCGGAAAAAGAGAGTCAGGTCCGCGCTAGCGGCGGCGAAAAAGGAGGGGTAAGTTCAGTGTCGTTATAAGATGTAGCCGCGGGTGGCAGACTGCAGAGTCAGTTAAGCGTGAATGAGTCAATCAAGGTTTTAATTCTTATGTGGGTAGAATGTCACAAGGGTACCGATGTATTTCACTGGGATGCGGGGAGTATCTGAGAGTGCTAATAAGGCTATTACTCTGGGTTTGTACTGAATAAAAGAAGTTGACTGTTAATCGTTTAATATACTCTTGAATAAGTTCGATTTGAAGGTCTCTGTGAATGTAGATGTTTGAAATATACCAAGGAGCATTGATAATTTCTCGTAGAATTTTATTTTGCAGAATTTGTAATTGTTTAATATTGGTTTTAGCTGCATGTCCCCATATCGGAGCTGCATAAAGGAGGGCTGGACGACGTATGGAGCAATATAAAATTAATTTGTTTGTAGTAGATAAGTTGCTTTTTCTACCAAGAAGAGGTCACATACTAGCTGTGGTGATTTTAAATTTTTGTACTACGAAGCGGAAGTGGATTCTGAAGGTAAGTTTTTGATCAAGGTATTTGGTTTCATTAATCCAGTCTATTTCTTCGTCAAACATTTCAGGGGGTGAAGGATAGTATTTCATGTTTTCCTTACGGAAAATTATTGCCTTGGTTTTATCAGTGTTAATTTTAATCCTCCAAAGGGTGAGCCATTTTTCCAGTTTTATGAGATAGTGTTGGAGTTGGTTTTTTACGGCGATAACTGCGCAGGCTTTGGTAAGTATGGCGGTGTCATCGGCAAAGAGTGCAAGATGAACAGAAGGGTCTTTAGGGATGTCTTGTGTATAAATACTAAAAAGGTACGGTGAAAGTGCCGACACCTGTGGGACACCAGCTTTGATTACTCTGGTGGTAGAGTAAGCAGTACCGATTTTGATTGTGAATGTTCTGTTGCTGAGAAAAGAGGCTATTAAGCGAATAAAATGATCTGGAGAATTGAGAATGATTAGTTTGTAAATAAGGACTCTATGCTATACCCTGTCAAAAGCTTTCGCGATATCGAGGAATACAGCACCGGTCGGAAGCTTGTAGTTGTAGCCTTCAGTGATAATGTTGATAACTCTAAGAAATTGGTGGCAACTGCTATGATGATTACGCAAACCGAATTGTTCTTCTGGGAGAAAATTCATTTAAGGGTGAATTTTTTTGGATGTGGAAAAGTAGAATTTTCTCAGTGACTTTAGACAGATGGCTAAATAAACTGATAGGGCGATAGTTCTGTGATCTGGCAAGACGGCCTACCCCACTTTTGACAGTAGTGTCTCCGCTTCACGCATGCACGGAGATATGCTTTGCTATCGTAATAGGCTGCATCTGTTATACACTATTGGCGATGTATCATAAGATTGGCGATTAATGTTGTTCCGTTAAATATTGGTGCCCACCAGCGGCAGAGCGGTAAAGTCGCTGAACACTGGTAATTCGATCCGAGGTTCGAATCCCGCGAACGGGCTGGCTGCATGGGTGTTTTCCCCATGTGTAACGTGTATACGAGCCAGTTTCCCTTAGAAAGTCCTTCAGGAAGGCATCCCTCCCCTTAGGCAGATAGCCCTAGTGAGCTTTGCCATAATTAAATACACCACACACCGTTAAATATTGTCACACTAGAGTAGTAGCGTCCAGAGTAGTAACTTTACGCACGCGCAATACACATTTTTTCAGGACGGCAACTTTCGTCGATTGGCGACGAATGTAGACTTCAGGCACACATTGTAAATTGTTAAGCTTATGGGGAAACCTACGTTATTCTTCGTTGCCGTGTTGATGTTTTTGCGTTTCTTTTAAATTAATACTGTAGGTTTCTGTAACGCTTAATAATCAATTCATTTTGCCTTATTTCATATTTATTTCCTAATGTATTTTTGTTTGATATTCCATCCTATATTTACTGTTATAAAATTTCTTTTGAAATTTATTTAAATTCATATTTTCCACAAAGGCATCTCTCAATTGTTGAATGCTTTGCCATAATCGGTGCTACTTTGGTAGACGGTTGCTCGGATTTTTTGGCGATTTATGTTGGCGCAGTTGTTGGCGCGGTTTTTACAATCGTCAGCCATCTCAAAAAACGCTGTTTTTACGTATTTTACGCACAGTAAAGTTTTTCGAATCTTTAAAAAAATAAATATCGTTAAAAATAATGGATTAATTTTTTGTTGAAAATGTTGCTTTTTAAAATGGCAGGCAAATGTAAAGAAATCCCTTTACTACGAGTATAAAATACTAAGTATTACTTTCATATAGCAAAGAAATGGAATAAAAACACTGCTATGAAAACACTGCGCCAACGTTTAATTTTTATTTAAAATATTACTTAAATTCAAATCCTTTAAAATAAGTTTTATAGGATATAATTATTTAACATTAAAACATATGTGACAATAAATATCTCGGCAAATTTTGAAAACAGTGTATTAATTGCTTTTAATAAAAATTGAAGTATGCAATTATAAAGTAAAAGAAAAATATGTACTTCCTTTTTTTTTTTTTTTTTTTTAGTATTTAACCTGTCGTATATTGATAGGTACCACAAAAAAACCAGAATCATAATTTAGATGTCAATGAAAAAAAATTTGTAAAATGTAATATAATTTTTAAAATGTAATCTAAGGGAAAAAATTGTTAAAAAAATTGAAAAATGTAATATAAGGAATTCGAAGAGATGAATAATAAAATTTTAAAATGGCGCGGTAATGCACATATATTCATTAACCAATCAGGGAGCTGATTACATCACAAATGGAATTAAGATTACTTAAATAATCATACATAATAAAATCATTTTTATAAAAATGCAAAATTAAATTGTATTATTGTAATATTTAGAAGCCATAAACAATATTTAAAACACGGAATTTATGCATAATAAAACGCATTATTTTTTAAATAAAATGACAACAAAGTATCGGTTACCTTAAATAACTTAACTAGCAATGGGTTCACCATAAGTCGTATTGCTCGCCAAAATCCGTGCAACCGTCTACCAAAGTAGCACCCATAATCAATTAATTGAAACTCATTTTTCAATTTTTTTTCTAATGCAGTTTATATATGTATATTTTCTTGTTGTTGATTAAAAGACACATTTTATTCTTCATCGATCCTGTAATGACTAGGCTTACAGTAATATTTTTTGCCCAAACCAGAAGAATTTTGAGAAAATACTCGCACAGAAAATAAAACCTGAAAAAGCAACTACAGTCAAAAGTCGTTAATCCGGACTCGTCGGGACTTCGGCGATTCCGGATTATCGATTTTTCCGGATTATAGATCATCAGTTTAAATCTGGTAAGATGGCATGCAGAAATTACAAAATTAAAAATATGAAACCGTAATTTATGAAATAAAGAGCAATTATGATCTAAAGGGTGAAATGCGAGGGAGACCGATCCGCCTAGTCTTATTAAAGACCAAATGATCATGTATAGGTCTCCCCCAGGGAAGAACCAAAACGACGGCTACCAGCA